GGCCATTGGAGTTTGTTGGTAGGGCTATCCCCCTTTTGTGGTCCATTAAAAATAAAAATACAGCATGTGCACATACATATGTATCTACACATAAGTTGCTCTTGTAATGAGAAGGCTACTTCTAATAATATATGAAATGCACATGTTCTTACATTAGGCATCTTAAAGAATAGGGGATGTACCTTATGCTTTCAGGTCTAAGCCTGAAGGTTAAGCCTTGAGAGGTTCTCCTTAAGGCTCATTTTGAGGAAAGGCATAATGTACCTTTTAGAATACTGGTTATAACTTGTTTGTTTTTGTGGTTTTTTCGTAAGTGAAGCCATTTCGTTAACCATAGGAGAAAGTACAGACTATCAGCATATATATATATATATAGAGAGAGAGAGAGAGAGAGAGATAGAGAGAGAGAGAGAGAGAGAGAGAGAGAGAGAGAACTATTAGCAGATACTCGCACCACAACAAGCAGAGGCATCCATCAAGCTAAGACAAAAGTTCAATGTGACTTTTGTAAGGATTGTCTATCCTTTGCCATGTCTTATAATGGTCATAAACTGGTACACCTTTATTTAAAATCCAAAAGTTCAATTTTAAATTCCTCTATTTAGATTATGGTCTGTTAAAGAAGAAGAAGAAGAAGCTGTTAATGGCAGAGTACAAGGGTAGCTATCTTATGGAACATATGGAAGGAGAGAAATGCTAGGGTATTTGAAAACAAAGAACATAGTATAGAGGATGTAATTGACCTGTGAGGAATTTAAAGATGTTAGGATGGATGATCTCATAAGAGGATGGCTAATCATGGCTGGTAGTGCCAATAAGAGGTTACCAAGAACTGTCAGCCAGGAAACCGCCTCCAGCAGGAAGTTTAAAATTAACTTTGATGGCTGCTATCTTGGTAATCCTGAAGACTCAAGTGTTGGTGGTGTGGTTAGAGATGAAAGTCCTTGAAGGCCTGAGGTTATGGTCATAATTCAAGGATTGAGAACATGTGGCTGTGTTCCAATGGTTTTATGGAGAAAGTCAAGGAATGGTGGGAGGGCAGTAATCCAAGGGTGCAATGGAAGCGTATGGATTTCATTGGAAATTGAAGGAAATTAAAGCTAAAATTAAGGAATGAAACATCCAACAGTTTGGAAGGTTGGGGAAGAGGAAGCAATAGGTGATTAGCAGAATTGAGGATTTTGATTCAAAAGAAACTTTAGGCACTTTTGAAGAAAGGTGGACATTGAGGAGGAAATTGGAAGATATACTGTTGAAGGAAGAGATCAGCTGGAAATATAAATCAAGGAATAATTTGGTTAAGGAGGGTGATAGAAAATCAAAATTCTTTCATGCCTTGGCTAACAGTAGGAGGAGAAAATTGTCTCAAAATTGGTAGTGGAGGGAGTTACTTTAAACCAACATAATCAGATTGCTAGGGCTTTTGTTGATCACTTTAAATCAATATTTAGGAGTCCCTTTGCTGAAAGGATGTGGATTGATGGTCTGGATTGAGCTAAATTGTATGAGGCCTCTAATAGGCTAGGGACCAAACCACAGTATTTGATGTCTGACATTATAAGGACTAGACCACAGTCCCCTAGAAGGCTAGGCCACAATATCTAATTGCAGGTATGAAAGACAATTTTGGTTATGAAAGAATCTCATTATGAATGATGTGATTATCTCTGGCGATTGGCGATGAACGGTATCTCTGGCGATCGACGACAAGAAACAGGTCGGAGATGATGGCGGCTTAAGGTTGGAGAAAGTGGAGGCTGATTCGGTGGAGATCCCAAATGTTTCGAAGAGAAATTCCAAAGAAAACCCCTGTGGGGAGAAGGAGATGGGAGTTAGAGAACTGGTATAGTCGGGGAGGTTCGGATGCAAGAACGAGGAAAAATTTTACCTATAGCAAAGCAGCGGCAGCTGGTATGTGGTCGGAGTATGGTGCAACAGAGCTGAAGCAGTGCGATGATAATGTGGTCATGTTTATTGACCAACGGGGGTGGGGGGAGGGGTAGACGCAAGGAAAAAATTCTTAAGAGGCTGCCTCGTGGGGAGATTTTGGTGGGGAGTAGGGGTGAGAGAAGTAGGGGACTGGGTGAAGAGAGTATGGAGGGAGGTGGGAGTTGTGAAGGTAAAGAAAATGGCGGATGACCTTTTCCTCTTTATTCTTCTGTTGAAGGAAGATGCAGGTTGGATTCATAGAAATGGCTTGTGGTGGATGGGAAGAAATCAACTTCTTCTAGACTAGTGGGGGGCAAGTGCTGGATGCTTCTACCCAGAAGCGGATTCTGATTCTGTCCACGACAACCCAATCTGGATAAGGATTTTTGGCTTTCCCCTAATCCTTTGGTGTCCGAGTGTGATCAAGGCGATTGGGGATAGATGTGGGGGATTCTTGGAAACTGACGATTCTCCGGCGGAACTCGAAACCTATGAGTGGGTTAGGATGAAGGTGTGTGGTGGTGAAAACATCCCTGATAGTGTGGAAGTTGTTGGTGGTAAGGTTCTATTCACAGTTAGAATCTGGTTGGAGCTCCTCCCGTCGGCTAGAAGATGGAACCCTTTGAAAGTAGGGGGGGGGAAGAGAGGATTCAAAAACCCTTATTATTGAAGACATGGAGGAGAGTTTGTCTTCAAAAGAACATGAAAGAGAAGCAACGACTAGCCTTCCCACACCATTTCAGGGGAAGAGGCAGAGATCCCGACTGTCGGAGTCCGGTGAAAGGGAGGATGAAGAAGATGAAGAGATGGGGAATACAAACCGTCGGATCTTCAAACAAATGGACGGTAGAGATGGTGTCTCGAGAAGCCCAAAAGAGGGGGAGATTTAATTTTGTCAGAGGTTCTTGAAAACTTTATTTGATGATAGATGGCGCAAATGGATATCGTGATGTGTTAGGACTTATCATTAATCTATTTTGGTTAATGGAACTGTGGTGGATCATTTCCATGCCTTTAGGGGACTAAGACAAGGGGACCCCATTTCCCTCTATTCTTATTGATCTTAATAGCAGATGTGCTTGGTAGATTGATTTCTAGAGCTGATTCTAGAAACATAAGGGGTATCCACTTGTTGTTTGTTGATGATACCATTATTTTTTGTGATGGTGGTGATCCTAGATGGGTGTGAAGTTTGAGGATAATTGTATTTTGCCTTTGAAAAGATGTCGAATTTGAAAATCAATTGGGAAAAAAGTTGTCTTGTGGGCATCAATATGGAGGGGAGAGAAATAGTAGAAGGGGTTGGAACTTTAGGGTGTAAGGTTGCTTAATGAGTGGCCGATAAACTATTTGGGCTTGCCTTTGGTGGGTAATCCAAGAGGCAACAATTTTTGGAATATGATAATTGAGGGGTTTACTAAAAAGTTGGCCACATGGAAAAGTTATTTGTTCAGTGTGCTTTCGTTCAATTTTTAGGATTCTAGTGGGGGCTAGTAAGTAAGAGGTTAGAAAAAATGATGAGGGATTTTTTGTAGGAGCCAGGGGAGAAAAAGAAGGACCATAGAGTCTGTTGGGATGTAGTCAGAAGAAGCAAAAAGTTTGGAGGGGTTAGGCTTGGAATATTTAGGAAAGGAATGTGGCTTTGCTAGCTAAATGGCTTAGGAGGTTCCTAGTTGATAGGGATAAGTTGTGGGTAAAGGTAGGTAATTCTAAGTATCCATGAGCTTGTGGTTGATGGTTGGGATGCTAGAGTTTTGGTTAGAGCTACAAAAAGTTCTCCTTGGAAGTCTATCCATGCAATCCTTCCTATCTTCTTGCTACATATCAGGTATAATCTCAGTTCTAGTAATCTTGTAAATTTTTTGGGACACGTTTGGTTGAGCATTTCACCATTAAAAGAACAATTCCCTTCCCTTAATGCAATTTCTAATCGAAAGAATGAGCCTATTGCCTCTTTTGTGGTTCATTCCAATTCTAACCCAGGGTTTGATTGGGATTTGGGTTTTAGAAGTGGTTTGCGTGATTGTGAATTAACCGGCACTTTATCTTTGATCCAAAGTCTTGAAGGGGTGTTTTTGAGCTCTTTAAGATGTTGATTGTCGAATTTGGACTCTTCCCATTGGGTTCTTTCATGTGTACCTCTTTCCTTGTGTCCTTAAACCAACTGAGTGATAGTTTGGGCATATTGTTTCCAATAAAAGAGGTTTTGAGTAAGCCAATTCCACCTAGGAATGGAGGCTTCTTTTGGGAAGTGTTTATGGAAAGATTTAATACCTGTGATTTGCTTCAGAGGAAAAGGTCTAATTGGTGCTCATCCCCTCACTGGTGTCTCTGTTGTAGTTTGTAAGGCTAATAATGAGTCTTCCCATCACTTATTAATCTTCTGCCTCTTTGTGTCATCAATTTGGGAATGGGTTTTCTCCTTGTTTAGATGTAGGTGGAACCCTCTGCCAAATGTACAAAGCCTTTTTAGTAGGGCTGCAACTTGGGTGGGCCCAAATTGACCTAACCCGCAATTTTACACGGTTGGGCTTAAATTTTCAGTCCTTGGGCTGGGCCTGGGCTCATACATACATACATACATAATGTATGTATGTATGTATGTATGTATGTATGTATGTGTATTTTTTTAATAAACTATACATGTATGTATACATGCATACATACATGCACATGTATATAAATTTTTAGTGTGGGCTGGGCTCAGGCTGAATAGTTCGGGCTTGACCTCAGGTTTGGGCTTTAGGCCCAATTCTTAGGATTGGGCTTGGGTTGAGCTAAAACCTGGCCCATCCTGCCCAGCTTGCACCTCTACTTTTTAGTCCAACCTTTGTTAGCTGAAGGAAGAAGAGGGGAAGACTTTTGTGGAAGTGCATGAGAGCAGCAGTATGTTGGACTATTTGGGAAGAGAGGAGCCTGAGAACATTTGTAGAAAAAAGGAGTAGGGATGTCCTTATTGAATCCATCACCATTAGAGTGTTACATTTGGTGAAAACTCTAAAATTTATTCGAGGATATTTCATCTATCAATTTGATGAGAAGTTGGAAGGAAGTAACTGATTCTGCTCCTTTGAAGGTTGCTACAAGGTTATCTTGGTCCCCTCCTTTCAGTGGTTTCATTAATCTGAACTTTGGCGGTAGTGGTGAAGGAAATCCAGGTCCTTCAGGTATGGGAGGAATTTTCAGAAATGATGAAAGTAAAATAATTTCTCTTTTTTCTGGTCCCTTAGGTGTGGGAGACTCCCTAAAGCTGTCATTGGAAGGAGTTCAAAAAGCCAAGGATTTGAATATTTTTAAGTTGATAATAGAAGGGGATTCAAAGTTGGTTATTAATTGGCTTTGAAAGGAGGAAGAGTTGGGTTGGTGGGATTATTAATGAAAAAAGGAAGTTAAGTGGCTAACACAAGAATTGGAACTGAAGCTGATTTGGGTGAAAAGAGAAGCTAATGGTTTTGAGATGCGTTGGCTAAACAAGGGGTTGGAAGGAATCCAATTTTCTGGGCTATGTTGTTGTTGAATGATTTTTTTTAATCCAAATAATATTTAAATAAGTCATAACCCAAATAAGTGGATTGGCTAGTCTGCTAGCTAAATCATCAAAACTATAAAAAAAAATGTCCCGTATGGGAGTTTTCTCTCTTTAAGTGGGAGGGACAGGTGTCCTTCACCTAGGAGGAGGAGGAGGTAGTTACATAACTACCCCACTCCCTATTTAGGCTCCTTGAGGAGAAGCTAGAAGGCCCTCTTCGGAGAAATTTGTCTTAAGAGATTCTTAAGAATAACCAAGATAAAGAGAGAAGAAAAGAGAAGTGCTCAAGGGAAGACGGAAGGAAAAGAAGTCTCACTAATACAGGTAGGAAAAGGAAAGTCCTCTCTGTGAATACTTCCTATATATATGTTTTCTGTTCTGTATACTTCTTTCTCTCTCTTTTATTTTCACTTTTGAGAAAGGAAATAGAGGGAAATAAACCATCTATGACCAGGTGCCTCTACTTGGTTGATTATGGTCCCTCTTTCAAGACAAAGTTGGGGATTAAACCATCTACAGTCTAATTCTCAAGGGCTGATTATGGTTCCCTTCAAATGAACATGAAGGATAGGGGGATAAAAACTGTCTATAGTCAAATATTCAATTTGATTGACTACGGTTCCCTTCTTGTACGCAAAAATTCAAAGGATTAAGGTTGTCTACAGTCATAATTTCATTTGATTGACTACATCTCATTGTGAAGAAAGGAGTGAGAAGGAAATCTTCCTTGTATCAAAAAGAAAAGAGAGAAATGTATTGTTGTAGAGTTTCTCAATTGTATTTTTTTTCTTCTCATTCTTGTACACTTGATGTAAAAGTTCTTTTTAAGTACTCTATTGTTCTTTTCTTTTGTTATATGCATTCATTTCTATAAGTCAGAATCAAAAGGTGTTCTCTACTTTCTTGTGGAGATGTAATTAAGGGGAACAATTCATATGATTCCCTGAATGGGCCTTACTCAAAATAATAAAAACTCAATCACTTGATTGAGTGAATTATGTTGCATGCGAATAAAGTTTTCACACCAACAGTTGTAATCTTGTATAGTGGTTGGGGAGAGTTAAGAGAGTTTATCTGCCACCTTTCATTGCACTGTGGTAATTTTTAATGAATGAAATTATTCAGTTAATGATAAAAAATCAAGGATTGAAATTATCTAACCAGCAAAGCTGGAGAAATATGACCACAAGTGACTGTCAAGTGGCCATTTTCTGCTGTTGTTTTGGGACCCATTGGACATGGAAGATTCTTGAGGGATGAGATTATGGCCATAATTCAAGGACTGAAACTATCTAACCACCAAAACTGGAGAAATATGATCACAGAAGGTGACTATCAAGTGGCCATTTTGTGGCTTGGATCAGAAGAAGAACCTTCATTGAAGCTTCTATTTTTAGTGAGAGAAGCTAGGGACTTGGGAAGAAATCTAAATTGCTCGTTCAGGTGGATTCTTAGATCTGGAAATGATTTAGCAAAAGCAGGTGTGATAAGGCAAGCATTTGATTGGGGTCTGCTGGGTCCTTGGGGGCAGGGGCCAAATTGTAGTCTGTACACCAAATAAATAATGTTTTTTTTTTTTTACAATTTGGTTCATTTTTATTAAATGAAACTCTTCATTGTTGATTATCAAAACAATTACTGCCCAAGTGCCCATTTGTCAGCTACTAAATTGCCATGTCTACCAAATTGAATAGGAAAGAGAAATGTGACTATTCATTTCTCAAATCTAGGACAAGGATACGAGTATTCCATCCAATATGTCAATACGGTGCTTTTTCTTTTGATGTATGAACATCACATTTTGTGACTGTATCCTGTCGAACATAGTGGCACATTTTATATTTTACACAACGATCCTTGCTAGTGATCATACCGTTTTTATATCTTCATTGATAAACTACAAGCTATGCATTAAAAAACATGTGTATTCTGGTTGATTTGGGAGGTGGAATGATCAGGGTGAGACCTTTTTTGCAGGCTGCAGTGTATTTCAACAAAATACAATGCTTTTGCTTTGAGGAGCAACGACTTCTTCCAGGAGAGCAGATTGACATGCCGGTAGGTCTCTTGCCCCCCTTTATAATACTGTTGATAGCTTCATTTATGCAAAATGATGCAATTCTGTCTCAATTTGCAGGTTTTCTTCTATATTGACCCTGAATTTGAGACGGACCCTAGAATGGATGGTGTCAACAATTTGATCTTATCCTACACCTTTTTCAAAGTAGGCGAAGAGTAGACATACTGCCTGTGTTTTCCAGTGATAGTGCTACTAGTGGCTAACTTCCCATTTTTTGGCGTTGTGGTACTTGGTTAAAAAAAGAACATTGGTAAATTGTTTTGCAATTCATTTTTTTTTACTGATAATAACAGTTATATTCCGCATTTCCTTTTGTCAATAGGAAATAGAATAGAGAGCAGTTGATGCTGTTGTATGTACTTATATTAATAAGTGAATTAGACCCATCTTTTTTTTTTTTTTGTGGGGGGGGGAGGGGGTATTGTGATCTTATGGTTATAAGGTCTTCTCTGAATTGTCTCACATTCTCAATTAGAGTGACAATACAAAATAAAGACATCGATGGTTGAAACTCAAACTTGTTCCATATTTGGCATAAATTTTGAACTATCCAAACCATCATTTTGTTTCTTAATCAACTTTGTTCTTTTTTTTTTCTTTTCCTTTTAATTTTTCAAACAGCCATTTATATTTCATCGTGTACCATCCAAATCCAGTGGCATGAAGCTATGGTTCATGAGTTAAATTGAACTCTAATCGATGGAGAGCTTAAGCATAATTTTCTCAAGAAATGGCTCTTCATGACTTCTCATTTGGGGAGATAGGCCTTTATTTTCCAGTTGATTATGGGCTGAGTCTGGCTTAATAACTATTTGTCTTGTGATCCAGGCACAAGTACCTTGCGCATGGACGCCATGCAAACTTTCATCACCATTCATAAAAGAAAAAGGCCTTATTAGCATTAAGCGTGTTAAATTATCAGGTGAAAGATTCCTTTGGCTTAGAAGTTAACTTGTCTTATGTTAAAACATTTTTCATCCATTCTCTTGTTTTGCAATTATCTGGAAATCAGCTACAGCAGTTTGTAGCAAACCCTTTGGCTTCGGTGTAAATACAAAATTACACCGATGGAATTTTACAACGGTCAGATTTCTGAGTGTAAAATGCAAACCGGCTTTATACTCCTTTTACAACGATGTAAAAGGTAGCATCGCTTAAGCCTTTGATTTCTCAGTCCATCTCCTCTTTTTTCCATGTCCAACATTGAGCATGATCTTCAAAAGCCTAAAAAGTCGTAGTTGAGATAAATGTTTTCGTTTTTCGCAGGACAAGAACCCCTATTTTTCTATGATGAATCAGTGGATGAATGATGAATCGGTGTTAAATGTTTGCATGAAATTAAAAGGGAAAACATGAGAAAGAACAAGAGCTATGTAGGATTTCTAGACAAAATCGTGTAACAGGGATACCCACGGAAAATCAATTTGGGGTATAATTCTGGCTCTGGGATCGAAATATGCTGCATCTGTGATAAGAGATTTGTAAGATTTAGGCTTATAGACTGAGACTTTGATTTTGGGATCGAAAACTGGAGCTTCTTTGCTGCTACTGTAGTTTCAGAAGCTTCTCTTGTTCAAGACATGTTTGGGTTTTCACTGCTGACCGACTGATTCCATCTTGGAATCTTGGACGTCACATCATGGTGGCCGCCAACCGATTAAAGTCGTGATCATGATCGCAATCAGATGTCTGAGGTCATGGTGGCTGCCACAACAGTTCTTGGAGAGAGAGAGAATCACACTCACCGGAGAAGCAGCGGCACCAAGGAAGAGATATTACTGGGATAACTACCTTTGCACCGATGAAGAGATGAGAAGAGGTTTTTACATCGATTTTTTTGATATATTTTACATCGACTCTTGATGTAAAAATCTATTGAAAAGCTTGTTTACATTATACATTTTTATTTTACACTCCAATCAAACAGCTGTAAAACTGAACTAGAGTATAAAATTACATCGAACCAGATTTTACACTGCTTCCAAACGCAGCCTTAAGCTGGATGGAAGGGTAATAGGCAGTCATCATGTGAACTCAAAACTAAACAAAGAACCTCAAAGAGGATTAGATTTTCTTCTGTCAACAAAGGTAAAAAGACTACAATAACTCGGTACATGCAGTGATCCCCATGGTCAGATTGATTAGTTTCATAGTGACTTGATCAAATTCATGCAGAGTCGGAGATTTGGTGTTATGGAAGCTAGAGCAGCTGCCAACCTTTGAAGTTAATCTGTGGTGCTTTACAAGAGGGACTAATGACTGCACGCATCTGTAATCAGCAGCATCCATAATCTGTACGACCTTCTCTCTGTGAGTCGTGGCAAAGCTTTTTTTACACATGCAAGATGATCAATAAAAAACAAATGAGAATGTTAGAAGATAATTGAGCAGAGAACCTGACTACGAATGCAAGTAAAATGAACAGCTAAGAACATACCCAAGATACAAGAACACCTTTTCCGGGAGGCCTTTTCATGTAAACTGGTACTCTACCTGTGAGCAACTCCAATAGCACAACTCCAGAACTGCATACGTCTGATTTTGTAGTCAGGTACCCGGTTAACGCCTGATTACTCCCTTCTCCAAGTCATTTAACAGAGTAAACACATCCATTCTCAAAGTAAGGCAGTTTAACATGATAGTCTGCTCTTCTCTTTAACAATGCCATTTAACAGAGAAAAGCAATACTATTACTAAGACTAATCTTAGGTGCATGCATTTCTAAGCTTCAAAAAGAAACTAAACAAAAGAGAGGAATAAAATAGTTACAGGTGGAGAACATTGTCTCATGCTATTCATAAATAAACCCCAATATGCCCCTACAAAGAGTGTATTGGACTTCTGATCAGTTCAAGGGGTGGAGGAGCCTTAAACTGGCCCCCCTGAACCAGTTTAAAAAAAAATAAAAAAAAGGTAAATAAAAAAACTGATACTGCCTGATACGCCCCTACCGGCGTATCAGGTGTATCGATATTTAGAACCTTATATATGATAGAATCAGATGTTTTTAATTATTTCCAGAGCTAACAGTTTTTTTTTTCATAATTTCTTCCTTGATCGGAGGTGGTGGTGAGATGGCTAAATGAAGACAATATTGGTTTGTGGAACTATAGCAATGAAAAGAAAAAATTTAAATGGCCAACTAGGGACATTGAGATGAAATACAGTTGGTGAAGAGAATTGCTAACTCACTTGTTGACGGGTTAACAAATTTGTAAAGGGTGAATCGAGATTTTTTGTTTTGGGCTCATTTCTAATTTTGTTTTCTTTTGTAATTTGTTGGTGGGGAAGTGAAGACAGTTTACCTTCGGGGACGATGTATCCCTGGGTGCCCAACAAACGAGTGGAAACATGTTCACCAGCTATACTGGTTCTATACCGTTTGAGTCAGACAGATCCATGGGCTGTATGTTGTGGCCCAAATCCAATAATTCTAAGCTGTTCATGTTTATTCCATTCATGATGTGATGTGGCCCATGTAGGTAGGGGTGTCAATTGGACTGGATTTGGTCCAATCCGGTCCAGTTTAATGTGAATTTATTATAAATGGACCAGGTTCAATCCAATCCAATGAATGCTTTGGACCAATTTTGACTGGTCTAATTCAATGTCTGGACTGTCCAATCTATTCAAATTCATTTTAATTTAGATTGGTTTCAATCCAAACCCGGTTCATTGACAAATATATTCTTATCTTATGTTAATGGACCAGATATTGGCTTAATCCAACCCAATCCAATATAAATTTGTTACGGATGGGTCAGGTCCAATCCAATCTAATAAATATTTTGGATCAAATTGGTCCAATTCAATGTCTTATTGGTCCATCCAATCAGTCCAAATTGATTTTGGACTGAAGGAAGTTCAATCCAAAACCGGTCCATTGACACCCTTACATGTAGGTCTCATACAAAACAAGTTGTGTATTACCGTAGCACCCAATAATTCCACCACTAATCCTACAAATCTTTCACAAGATCCTTGTCTGAACTTCCCTTAAAACTTTGAGAGTTGATCATATCAAATCTCTTTGCGACTGCAATGCTTTTTGTGCAGTCTCAGTCTGTAAAAGATGGGCGATCGATTTGCAATCCAATCTGATTACTCCCTTCTCCAAGTCAATCTCGACGGTTGCCAATGAACCTGATATCCCTAGTTCAACCTTTGTTTCTTTGTTTATATTCCTACAACTGCAAATCGTTTATCATCAACTGGCTCAGGGGGCCAAAAGTTCAATTCAGGATTTCATATTTTTTTGAACAGCCGCCAGCTGATGCTCTTGATGTATAAAACTTTGTGCCAAAAATTATGGTTGGTTGCATTCATCAAAAAAAAAATTATGGTTGGTTGCTGCTTAGAATATATCCTTGTGGTGTTCTCTTCTTCAACCCCTTCACCAACACGAGGATTAAACTTTCAGATTTACCCACGCCTCACCAGTTTCAAGTGAGTTGAAATTTTCTGCCAAGCCTTACCAGTTTCAAGTGAGTTGAGATTTTCTGCTTAGAATATATCCTTGTGGTTGGTTGCTGCTTAGAATTTACCCAAGCCTTACCAGTTTCAAGTAGCTTCCTTCTCATCTCCACCAACTTCTTCTAATTATATTGTTTTTGGTGCTAATTCTCTTAAACACCGACGTAATTCATATATTTTTCATTCTCTTGGTGAAGGCAACTGCATCTTTTATCAAAATCTACCAAACAATATGCCCTTCTACCAATCCGTGACCAATCTTGTTTTCTGCAAGGGACTCTTTTACTGCCTTGCTATGGATGGAAGCTTGGCAACCTAGAACTCAAGAAAGAACATGGAGAGTAGACATAATTGGACTCTTCTGGGCAGACCCAAAGCAACAATTCGTTTACAAACCTATCTGATGTTTTCTATTTTTTTGGTAACTCCTATCAGATGTTTTGAGTGGAATGTAATGGAGATCATTTGTCAGTGTTTCTTGGCCAAGGAGGTGTATGTGTTTAGGCTGCATTTGTCATTCCTTCTTTTAAGGACTTATCTCCTTTTTATAATTAAAAACTCAGTGTTCATAAGAACATTTTAACAGAAAAAAGGAGACAAGTCCTTAATATAAGAAATGGTACTGAAAGAAGATCAGATACTATTTGTTAGCACTTGGCCGTCTCTCTCAAGAAAGAAAGTGGCGAGAATGACTAACAAAATTTTCTTTTCATGGTTCAACATTGATGATAGAAGCAACAAGACCCGTCAATATAGTATGTGCTACCGTTTAAGTACTAAAAAGTACTACACTCGGAAGTGATTATTCCAGCAAGGGTTTATATAGCATAAAATAAAGGGAGAATGATGGTTCAGCCCAGGGTCAGAATTGTAGGCCGAAGTACTGTTGGGGTAGGTGCTAGTTCGGAATTGATGTCAATTCACGGGCAGGCATTGAAATATAGAGTGTGGGTATTTGACATTTTGAATGTATATAGATCTGCAGTGGGATTCAGAAATCTGCACTGGGCATATCCGTACTTCTCCATAAAATAAAAGGGAGGGTGGACTTTATATAGATTGAACCAAGGTTCAAAATATCGATACGCCAGTAGGGGCGTATCAGATGAATTGATACCTTTTTTTTTTTACTTTTTTTTATATTTTTTCCAAACTAGTTCAGAAAACCGGTTTAAAGCTCCACCCGCTGAACCGGTCAGACCCCCTATACACCCACTGTAAGGGCGTATCAGAGAGGTCACGTATTGATACTCTGAACCTTTAATTGAACCCAGTTTTATAATATCGCCAGAAGAGGAACTCAATTGGGTTGTGAATCTTCTCCCTAGCCGGTAGCTATCTCAACTTACAACATTTGTTATTTATTTATTTATTTTTTTCATGCATTATAATTACTTTCGTTCTATAGTTTGATTTTGTTAGGAATTGCAAATTTATAATTCTGATTCACCATTCAAAGAATACAATGTTATAGTGTTTTATCCAATTTTATGTCAATTTCAAGTGTTTGTGTGGATTCTCAAAAAATGAGGCTTGTTTCACAAAATATTTATTTATTTTGTCACCTACGTACAAGATAAATTAAAAGATAAAGAAATAATAAATGCGACCTCAGTCCTCCATAATGTATTACCGGGCAAAGATAAAATTCAATTTGAAAACTTGTTTGAAAATAAAAAAACACTGAATCCATACACGGATTTCTTTCCTATCTTATTAATAATTATTAACCCGTGCAACTTAGAAATAGTTACATGGGAAGTAGCAGCACCAATCTCTGCAACCTACAACAATAAAATAAGAGATGTAGAAAAGAATACAGAAAAGGCCAGGAACTTTTCATTTTATGTGATGGATTTTGAAGCATCTAAAATATAAACACGACACTGTCATGAACTCTGGACTTCTGGTTCTGAGCCACACACTCAGATATCCACATTAGGTTCCTGATCTCCTGCTCTCTTAACCTCATGTATGCGAAGAAAACACCATAATGGAACTGAAAATCAAAAAGAAAATCAATCATCATTCTTCATGTTGATAACATCATAGTGTAAGTAAATAAAATAAAAAAGTAAATGTAAGGCACTTTTTTACCATAAATGGACTAGTTAATAGATTTATTAGTATAGTTTCGTGTCTTGAAACACTTTCTGGCTCAACAAATTGACCAACCAATCTGTGGATTTTTGAGCTTGCAAACCATGAAAGCTCAAATTAATATTTACATGAGAATACAAAACGAAACTGGTTTCATGGTGCCCGAAGTATGTACCTGTTGTTCGAAGGCCAAGCAGAGTCTTTTCACCTCCTCTTCATAAAATGCTTTGTCTAGCATTTGGCTCTCTCCATAAGATAACTTGGCAAAAATAGACTGGTAAGCAGGATATTTCTCCAGGGCACCACGAACCTACAGCAGTAATCCAATCCATGAAAGGCTATGAGTAGAAGCACAATGAGTTGAGTATCGGAAAGAATGACAAGGAAAAGTGAGGACTATACATCTAGAAAATAGAAATCAAGAACTCTATTGGGGTTCATGTCAAAATAATTAGGTTTTTTAATTGCATTTGTATTAAATATATGCAGGTTATTCTTCAGAAAAAGATACCACTACACTTACAGACAGGATATTTGTGGTTCTCAGATTGAACAAAACAAGAGGCCAACGATAGTGTTTAGTCCTTTTGCAAGGATTAACATTGCGTAAGGAGCATAACAGTCACTTAAATCATGAAAATACATTTTCATATCTAAAAGTTTTTTCTTATATACATTACAAGTCAACCATTCATAATTGACCAAACAAGTAATGCACAATGCTGACTAACAGGTCCAACTTAAGAAAGCAGTCATGGTTCTTAAAATTAAGTCATGAAAACGCATTCTCATAAATTCTTGTTATATACATTACAAATCAACTATTCACAACTGACCGGACAAGTAATGCACGGTGTTGACTAACAGGTAAGCCCAACTTAAGAAAGCAGTAAAGGTTGCTAACATTTTATTTCATCGAACAGTGGAAGGTCCTTTAAAAGAATACAAACAAGGAAAGAAGATAATCCTTCCAAAGTTGAAGTGGAATTCTGTAAAGAAACTTACCTGATCAACGTCTTCACAGACCGCAAGTTCCTCATGCCCATAGGGATATCTACAAAGCAGAAATACACCATAATTAGTAAAACCTCCATCCCAGGATACAAACAAAATAAGCTTGCAGGAGAATCTTACAGCAAACCAAAATTAGAATAAAGCTTCTTGCGGTCATCCCGTGTCAGCTCAGTGCCAATACTGCAAAAAGGAAACCATAGGCATGTAAAAGTTCCGTATGTGGAAGTGTAGAAGAGTATCAAAATACCTAAAGAAAACTGGCAGAATGAGACAACAACATGCACACTTGTATACAGTTATACACTACCTGTTTATTGTGATATTGACAGCCCGTTTGTCAGCCTCGAAGGCTAAAAGGTCAGTCATAATCTCTGCAGTAGCACCTCCAAGTTTCTGCTTGAAAATATAACTTTAGACGCTTTCACATAGATTTCAATAGATCATTTCTCTATAAACTTTGTAAATAATGCTCACCTTGCAAAACTTATAGAAATCTTCAAGGTATGCCTTGTAAAGAGTGTTCCTCATAATTTCAATGTTCATGTCATCCAAGTCCTATAGAAGGTGCAAAACAAAGATAATGAAATAACAGTATAAATGTGGAAACAACCATTTTTCATGCTTAGAAATGAAGTTTTGTCCTCTCTTAAACAAAATTGAAAAAACAGATCATTTTCAACTAGTGCATATTGACAGATTCTATCTGAGTGACAAGAAGCAATATTTAAAATTAGAAATTAAATTATGAAGTATACCTATCTATTGGACTACAATTTAAGAGTGTCTACCTTTTAAGTAGGCTAAATGAAAGAATATATTACTAATTGTCCCAAAGCTAATTTATATCCCACCATATAAACGTTTAAAGGTTACAAAGTATTAATGTCCTACAAACTGTTCACATAAAAAACCACGGAAAACAATTTTTTGGCTTTAGAAATTCACTGCTCATGTTAGGGGTGTTTGTTTGGTTGGTTTAGCTAGAACCGAGAACCTAACCAACATTTTGGTTTGGGCATTCTAACAAACCGAACCGAACCACTCTTGTTGTCATAACGAACCAAATTCAATTCAGTTTGGGCCCATTAACAAGCTCGACAAGTTAATAAATAATATATGTATTAATAAATATTATATATTATATTAATAAATAAAATTTGTAATAATATATATATATACATACATACATACATACATATGTATTAATATATATTGGTTTATTCTGTTTTCGGTTTGGTTTGGTAGCCGAATTTGAACGCTACCTAGCTCATGTGCTATAAAAATGCAAATATCTAAATTCACCAGGTCAATACCTCAGACGTAATGCATTCAGAGAAATATGGAGCCAATGGTGTGTCAACAAGCACTAATCTGTAAAGCTCACGCATATTCTGTGCTACTGCAAGGCTAGCAATACTGAGAAAGAAAAAGAAAATGAGCATGGACTGTTAAGGATCAAAAACTAGATGAATTGCTTGATAAAGACATTACCTGTCAAACATTCCCAAAGGGTGGCATTTCTCTAATAATTCTTGAACATCCCTCTCATGTAAAGTTCCAGTTACAATAAGAACAACATTGTCAATCATGTGACCATACCTGGAAAAAACAACAAAATACAGAATCATTGTCTGTCCTAATTTTGATCTCAACACCTTATACTTTTTACCTCATCTTCCTCTCTCCTTCAACAAGAAGGGGGGAGATCTTATGGAGATGAACTAGGATTTAGTCCTACGGAGCATTTGGGAGGAAAGGAATGCTAAAATTATCAATGACAAGAAATTGGAGCCACAAAGATTTTGCCCCGATAAGTATGGCTCCTCACACCTTTTACTACAGAAGAGTTTAAGTGATCTTTCTGGATTTGATAATTAGAAGATTCCAAGGAAGTATCTACAGACAGCCATTACAGCAGGGTGGGTGCCTCTTACCCCATTGTGAAGCTAAACATAGACAAAGGAATAGAAATCTGGTCTATTCTTGGTGGGAGGAGCTGCCAGGGACAGTACAGGTGAAATAAAGTGGTGCTTGTAGTCCCAGCAGGAAAAAAGGGGTTCATTCAGATCTGAGATTTTGGCCTTTGTTGATGGGATAAGACTAGGGTATGAATCTGGAAGGGAACTTCATCAAACAGGAGATTTTCAAGTTGTTTTTAGCAGAATGGAGTTTCATTTAGATGGTCCTAGTATTTGGATCATTTTATTCAACAGGTTAAATCTTTGGCATCCAAAATGAATAACTTATTCAGCTTGATTTGAAGATCACCAAACTCCTTTGCAGATAGGGTATCACAAGAGGGTTTACACATACCCAGATAAACATTTCCATTTCTAGTGCAATCTGAAAAGCAAACTTAGTGTGCCTAACGATTCTGGGAATGGATTCAAGTGGCCTTTTCATCATGCATTAATCAAGCTTCATATCTATGTCTGCACTTAAGTTTTCTACTATGTGTGTACTTTTTTGTATATTTATTAGACTGTACCATTACTTATAAGAAAGGGAATGGTCTACATTGAGAAATTCCTAAAAACATAATTAGTAAATTAAGACCAATGTCAAACAATATCCACTTCTTAGAAAAACCATCAAACTCCAACTACTTCATTCACCTGGGTAATTCATCTTTCTGTTTTCTCATAATATTATGGCCTTAGACCTAGCACTTTAGCTTCATGATAAAGCTCATCAATGAAATAAACACTTCTAGTGAGACAATCCACAACTAAGTTACCAGACATGGGGACCTAGGTAGACAGGATCTTCAATCTAGAGGACAAAGGTCTAGTTTCTCCAGTGTTCCTCCAAGGTCCCCTAGCATGACAAGCCATTCTTTAGATAACGACTTGCTTACCTCCCTCCATAACAATCCTCATAAAAACTAAAAATAATGAAAAGTTTAGCTCTTGTAGAAGATAAATCTAAACTTTAACAAGGATGCTTGTACCTGGTGGAACTGTGAAGGTAAAAAGAATGGTGCCAGAAACCAAGGGTTTACAATGAAATGGCACTTGGTCTTGGTATTGATGAGTTATGACAATTTACCACCCTAATTAGCTGGGAAGCATGCCAATTGCGTACAACCCTCCGATCCCTAATAGGATGGGGTAAGAAAAGATGTCATCTCTTTTACTCTTTATGTTATTTCTTGTGAAGATTAACTATTTAACTTATTCTGCATGAACAGAAATTTTGTCGTTTCATGTTATGCATCCCTTCCACCATTTTGTGCTTCTCTCTCTCTCTCTCTCTCACTCTCTCTTCATATTTACCTAATTCACTGAAGCCTCCATTATTCTAAATGTTCTCCTAGCAAAACCTTCTGAACCATGTAGTCATGGATAAACTAGTTTTAAGCAAGTCCATATTTGTTTTTCATGATAACTTTGTTTACGTATACACTGCTCTCCTTATTACCAGTGTTGTAGAACTTGAGCGCTCAGCTTGCTTTGAATCCTGGTAGTTGAGTGGATTGTTTGGAGTGGAAGGCTCTAATCTTTTGCGGAATATGAATATTTCCATCACCATTATAGAAAATAATGACAAATGAACATTTTTTCTCATTCCACCATACAGAATTGTGAAGACATGAAGGTTTTAAGGAAAGAAACGAAAACAACAGGCTGAATTCCTTGTGTCATATTAGGGGTGGGGGTTCTGACAATTCAGTGCCTGAGGTAGGCCTTTCCAGGGAAGTTGTTAGGAGATGGATTATGTCTTGGGGATCGTCTTTGCCAGCATAGATTCTGTAGAGAACATTGATGTGGGCCCCACAGCTGTGGTCCCACTCTGTCCGTAGGGTAGAATGTATCTAGTCACAGCTGTGGTCATTTTTCTATTCTGTTATTCCTAGTTTCAGTTTTATATTGTTTGTTATTTGTTAGCAGTTATGATGTAAACACCAAGGGCAGATATGTCCTTTCATGTAACTAGCATAAC